ATATATTTACCACCAGCTTGTCATATTCTGTCCAAAAAAGAAAAGAAAAGAAAAGCCTATGTCATTGTTTACGAGGAATAAAATTGCCATAAGATTTTTCTTCAAATATCAAAAGACTTGTGTCAATGAAAGGCCTCAAGTTAGTTGGGTTGAAGTCTCACGATTCTTATTTGTTGATGCAACATTTTTTACCAATTGTTTTTCGTGATATATTGCCGAAAAAATGTGAGAGACACCATAACACAACTGTATTTTTTCATTCATAAAATATGTACTAAAGTCATTGAAGTTGAAAAGTTAAATGAGCTAGAATCTAAAGCTGTTTTGATACTGTGTAAATTAGAGATGTATTTTTCTCCATCATTTTTTGACATCATGGTGCATTTAATTGTTCATCTTGTGAGAGAGATTAGGTTATGCGGCCCTATTTAAGGTGGATGTATCTAGTTGAACGATACATGAAAATATTAAAAGGATAGGTAAAGAATCTCCGACGTCCAGAAGCATCAATAGTTGAAAGATACATTTAAGAAGAAGTCATTGATTTTTCTACAGAGTATTTGTCAGAAGTAAGACCTATAAGGCTTCCTCATTATCAGTATGATTCATCGTCAACAGGAAAGGGTACACGAGGTTTAAATGTAAAAAGCATTTGTGCAGCAGAAGTGTTGCAAGCATATTTATATATTTTGAATAATACTGATGAAGTTCTACTTTATTTATCTTTCCACAAGAACATATTGAAGGAAAATAACCCTTGGATGAACGAAAGATCGCTGTTGAATGAGCACAATAAGACTTTCTTGAAATGGTTTGAAAGTGTTATTCTTAAGGATGATGCTGCATCTGAAACTTTAAAGTGGCTTGCGCATGGTCGAAACTTTGATGTGATATGTTGGAGTGGATATGATATTAATAATTTTTGCTTTTATACTAAGCGTCAAGATAGCAAGAGTGTAGTGCAAAATAGTGGTGTTATGATAGATGCTGAGTCACTTCACTTCTCTAGTTCAAAAGATAAATCTCCTGTTGTGACTTCCCTTTCTTATTTTGGGGTGATTGAAGATATTTGGGAGATTGTTTACAATAAATTTTGAGTACTTGTTTTCAAATGTAATTAGGTTGATAGTATTAGTGGTGTTATGATTGATGAGCTTGAATTTACAATAGTGAACCTAAACTTATTAGCTTATAAGGATGAAGCTTTTATCATGGCAAGTCAAGCTAGGCAAGTTTTTTATGTTACTGATCCTGCTAACAGCAATTGGTCAATAGTGCTTAAAAGCAAACCTATTTCTGGGAAAGATGAGCTTCAACTTTCTAATGATCAACCATTTGATGATCTATCTTTCTCCTTAAATTGTCCTACTTCAATTGAAGACAATGAAGTAGATGACGTATATGCCACAAGACATGATCATGAAGAAGGGATATGGGAAAATAACTAAAAATAATAATATACAAGTTAGTTGAATAACTTTTACATTCATATTTGTACTTATATTTTAATATGTTTTTCTAACTATTTTACTCTTATGTAGGTGAGATACGTCTGATTCAAGTGCACCAAAGAAGGTAGATGTGCAACACGACTAAGAGATTAGAGTACTGGAGAGCAAAAGATACCCATTGAGTTTGACAACTCAACGAGTAATCCAATCGGACCCAATGGAACAAAGTTCAAGAGCTACGTTGCACTACTTACATGTATTAAAGTGAGCATTTTGACAAAAGATTGGAATCAAGTGGAGATGCATGTGAATGACCAAATATGGCAAAGCATAATGGTAAAAATCATGGTTATTGCAATCATTTTTAACTAATTCATTTTGTGTATTTATTGTTAACTGATACATTGTGATGCTTCCATTGTAGCTGACTTATGATATTCCTAACACTGAATCTCTCAAGAGGAAGTGATTGTCGTTTGCGGGAGAACGGTGGAGGGCATTCAAAACACACTTGACTTCTAAGTTTGTGTTTGGAAGCCATAAAGATGTGTCTCCTTGTCAAGAATATTCTTTCATTGAGGAGGACACATGGAAGAAGTTTGTGTAAACCTGACTCGAATCTGGTTTTCAGGTTAGTGTAATGTGTGAAATATTTTTTCTGATGCTTATTTCATTGGCCAATATGCTTAAATGTGTTTTTGTCCTATATTTATAGGAGAAAAGGAAGAAAACTCAGGCAATTCAAGTAAAGAATTGCCACCCACATAGGTTGTCACGTGGGGATTATGAATTACTTCAGAAGAAGATAATGGAAGAGAAAGCCAAAAATACCCAAGCTTCTCAAACAGACCCCTCTGTGGTTGTCTCTCCTCCATCACCACCTTCACGTCACGAAAAATGGAAGAGAGCACGACAAACGGTATAAAGATAGTACATTTCTGATCAAAGTCGTATAGTAGCCAAAAAAATTATTAGTATTAAATCCTTTACCTTTTACACTTAATCTCATTTCGTTCAAAAAACTTTATCCTTAATTAATAAATCAATACTTTTTCTTTCGTAGGATTCTTTAGTAGAGCAGAGTTCATAGGACACCTTCACACCTGTTCGACGTGAAGACATATTGTATGTTGTTATTGGTTCATCAGAACATCTCGATCGTGTTCGTACTGCTGGATGGGTAAAGGCATTCATCAGTACTTTGGTGCAAGCAATACCAAAAAGAAAGGAGTACTCACAGGAGATAAAATTGAGGCAATCAAGGAGGAGATCAGGCAGCAAGTGAGAGCTGAGATTAGGCAAGAACTTGCCTCTTTAGATATTTTCAAGATAAGACAAATACCCTACACCCTTCCTCAAGCCTCTCGTCTTGAGGACCGTGTTAGCACGAATGGTAGTTGTGCTCTAGTAGACCTCAATGACAATGTAAAAACCGATGTAAAAATAAAATATATTCTACATCAGTTACTTTAAAAAGACGATGTAGAAAGTGTATTTACTACATCAATTTCATGTATAACTGATGTAAAATATTTTTTTTTACATCAGTTGTTAATCGATGTAGAATATCACCATTTACTACATCAGCGTACTAACTGATATAAAAAACTCTTTTTAACCAATGTTAAAATCTATTTATGTACTAATATTTGAATGAATCAAAAAATAAATAATAATAATAATAATGTATTAATTAAGTACTATTATTCATCGGTAGTGTTATAGTTTTATAAACTTTTTTAAATTTCTTTGCATCTTAACTGAAATTATTTTCTCATAACATAGATACTATTATTAATAAAACAATTTAATGATAAATTCAATTTAATTATACAAATTTATCATTATTTATATTTTTCAACAGAAGTTATTTATTATTAGTATTTTTGTATTTTAAATGTATATATAATGCATTTATGAACATCACACGATGTTTAGAAAAAGGACGATAAGTAGATGGATGCGAAGACAAGAAAAAAGGACAGAAAAGCAGAGAAATAAACAATGGGAAAAGACGAAGGGAAGGAAAGTGTAGACAAGAATCGTAAAAGGCAGCTGAAAAAGAAATAAAATATCTGGAAAAGTGAGATAAGGATAATGTTCCAACAAACAAAGCGTAAGCATTGATAATTTGGTTGGAATCCATTATTAAGGTGGAGAATCATTCAATTTAATTATAAATAAAATTTATGATTTAATTTTAAAATTTAATTATGGTACAATATAAAATTCTTTATATTATTAACAAATTAAAATATACTGCAGATATAATTTTTTATATTAATTATTATAAATATGATAATTCATGGTTACACACGAATGTATTTAAATTAGTTTGAGAATAATATTAAAATTAATTTTTTTAATTTTTAATTAGATTATTTTTTATTTTATCATATTTTATAATTTTTGTAAGAGACATAACTTAAATTTTTATTAATTAATAAATAAAATTTTATTTATTAAGTATGAATCAAGTCTTAAATTAGTATATAAATCTTTTATTGGCTATTTTTAATTTAAAAATAATACTTATTTAATAAAAAGTTAAATATATAATAAATATTGAAAAATCAGTTAAAAACATTGATTTTTATCACAAATGATATCTTAATCTAAATTATAAATCTCATCAAAATAATCTCAAGTTTTATTAAAAAAATACGCATACATTTAAGAAACTTTATTTTAGATTAGTGTTATATAAAATAGAAAAAAGAATATAATATAAAAATGACATGCTTGTAGTTTTGGTATAGTTTAATTTTGAATATTTAAATCAAAATCTGAATCAAGTCACATAAAAGATATTTTTTTATTAATAATTTTTTTTCTATTTGACTTTCTAGATCAATTTAGGAATTTATAATCATTCTGGAACACTCCTAAAATAAAATGATGATAAAATAAACTTTCGTTTTCTCTTGTATTGGATTTTTATATTAATAATATGAATGTAATTTTATACGTTTAGACTTATCTATTTGTTGCTTTTTTTATATATAAAAGTGTTTTATTTATTTATTTAATTTACTCTTTTCTAATTTTTTTAATTTTTTTCAAATTATACTTTTTTCTTGATTAGTAATTGCAAAAGTATCAAATTAAGTTTACTTCATTTCCTAATTTTAAATATATGCAAGGAACTGATGAATTTAAGTATAAACATCTAAGAGCAAAAATGAAATAAAATAATGTGATATTTTTTTTTATCATTATTAATAAAAATTATTTTGTTAAAAAAAAAAGTTAACCCATTATTATTCTCTTCACTTATATTAATTTTAATTTTAAATGAATTATTTTCTTACTTTTATAATTTATTTATGTTTACTTGTATATCATTTGAATGTCTATCGCTTAAATTATTTATGCATATATTGTGCCACATTTTAAATACTTTTATTTATGTGTATAGAGTTTTCCTATTATTATTATTTTGGTTGAAGAATGCTTGTTACCTGAATCGTCTTGTCATCTCGTGCGTCTATATAATAACAGCCTTTACCTTACCAAAATAAGTAAATTGATAGTTTCTTAAGTTGAGAATTGAGTGTTGCAGTAATGGCTACTTATGAAGAAGAGGTGACACTTTTCGGGGTTGTGGGAAGCCCATTTGTGTGCAGGGTTCAGATTGCTCTCAGATTAAAGGGAGTTGAATACAAATATGTGGAAGATGATTTGAACAAGAAGAGTGATATGCTCCTCAAATACAACCCAGTTTACAAAATGGTTCCTGTGTTTGTTCACAATCAGAAGCCCATATCAGAGTCCCTTGTGATTGTTGAATACGTTGATGAGATCTGGAAACACAACCCCATCTTGCCTTCTGATTCTTACCAACGAGCCATGGCCCGTTTCTGGTCCAAGTTCATTGATGATAAGGTAATTCACATCTATTCTTTTCTGCGTTGAATTTATTTTACAGCTTTTTTTAACGTATAATCAATAAAAGTTTGTGAATAAATTTCATTCATAAACGTTTAATAATACATCAAATTCCTTTAAGAACCACCTATGTAATCAGATCTAATACGATTTAGGTATAATTTTTAGCTGGGGGAGAAGAAATATTTCTGTGCTATGGAAACTATGAAAACCGTGTGCCAAGAAAAAGTTATCATAATTAGGAACATCCAATTTAAATAACAAAATTTATTTTATTTTGACATAAACTGAATAAAAATTTTGTTTGTCCTAATTATTTTCTAAAGAAGTTGTTTAATTTGTGAAATCAGTGCGTTGCTCCTGCATGGAAATCAGTTTTTATAGTTGACGAGAAAGAGCGTGAGAAAGCAGCTGAAGAATTAAATGAAGCTCTCAAGTTTCTTGAGGATGAGCTAAAGGACAAGTTCTTTGGAGGAGATGAGTTTGGCTTTGTGGATATTGCAGCGGTTTTCATACCTATAGTTCAAGAGGTTGCGGGGATGCAATTGTTCAGCAGTGAAAATTTTCCCAAACTCTATAAATGGAGCAAAGACTTTCACAACCATCCAATTGTCAAAGAATGTCTACCTCCTAAGGACCAACTTTTTGCCTATTTCAAGGCTCGTGCTCAAAGCCTTGCTGCTCGAAAATAAATTAATATCGAGTTAGACTCAGTATTTCCAAGGTTGATTCAAGATTGTATGAAGTACTTTTCTGGGTTTAATTGTTACTAGTTAGGTTTTCATTTCTGAATGAAATATGTATACATCCAAGGATCTGTCCATGTCTAAGAAATCCAAAGATCTTGTTGAAACTTTAGCTATTTCAATTAATAAAAGAAAAGTTGATAACTATTAACTGTGATTTGAACTATTTAGTAAAGAGTGCTTGATATTTTATTAAAAAATTTAATTATATTAAAAATATTAAATAATTTTATACTTATAATATAATTACTTTTGTTAAATTTAAATGATTTTATTTATATATGACTTCTTGTCTTGACGATCTTATTGACATTTTGATTAATACAATTAATAAAGGAATAAAAAAAATGATGTTTGTATTATTAAGATAAGATATTTTTAAGTATTTTTGTTTTAGAGTGAATAATAATAATAATAATAATAATAATAATAATAAAGGAATCTCTTTCCTTCCTCATATTATGCAACTTTTATTGCATATTTATAGTTAACCTAAGTTTAAAAGGGGGGTTTTGTATTTTATTTTACTTTTCCCCCTCGTTTTTTAAAGTTAACACATTTAAAATTAATTTAAATATATATGCCAATATTAAATGTTATAAAGTAGTTTTATCTAATTTAAAAACAAACGGATCCTAAACCTTTTCGTTGATGTGATGTGCCTACGAATGTCAGGAAGAGACGCCGATATGACCTAGTGACATAGATATTTAAAAGGAAAAAAGTAAATTACAATTTTTTCCTTAACTATTATACTATGTTTTATTTTAAAATATTATAACTTATTTTTTAATTAAAATATATCATAATTTAATTTATTTTAACTTTTAAAATATTATTAAAAATATGTTTGACCTATTTTTAAAAATTTAAAAACTTTTTATAATTTTTTATTATATTTTTACTAAATTTACAAGCTTAAAATTTTTAAAATAAATATTTATTATTTTTTATAAGTTTTTAAAGTTTTTCTCAATATCAAATAATAAAAATAAAAATAAAAATAAAAATAAAAATAAAAATAAAAATAATTCTTATTTTTTTATTAAAATATATAAATCGTAAACAATTTTACTTTCAAAGAAAAAGGTAAAGCATGAAAAAATTTTAAAAATTTGAAATATATAAATAAAAATTAGACTGTAGATATAAAATAAATTAAAAATAATATGATACATGAATATTAAATTTGAAATATTTCAAAAGTTTTTAAAGAATATTTTTAACATTGTAAAGCCAAATAAACTAAATAGTATATTGTATAATAAATGAAAATTAATAATTTTTATATCACATAAAAAGTAGTGAATTTTAATTTAAAAATGATAAAATATTATGTACCATGTGTGAAAATAAGAATTTAGGATATCAGATGTGGAACTCATATATGCTGCTTAACTTTATATTTTATAAGATTCTTAAGGGATCCAAATAGCACATCGTCTAATTTATATAATTAAGATATTACATGTTTCTCTAAGAAATAAGGATTAAAGTATAACTTTGAATGAGTATGGACATAAGTAATTTTTTATAAACACAAATACAATAATAAGTAATATAATATTCTATCAAAATAAATGAGAATTTATCTCATTCTAATTAAGGTGTCTTTAAAATTACATAAAATTAAAAAATAATCATATAACTATTTTTAATTCAAAGTGTTATTAAATATATATATATATATATATATACATATATCACTCAATATTCTTTAGAAATATTAAATATCATCAATTTAATCATTAAAACTTCTTTTTAAGTAGATTAAGTCTAAAAAAATCATACAAATCAAAATTTAATTAATTTTTTATTAGAAAATTTGATTTAATATCTAATATATATTTTATAATATAAATAAATATTAATTATAAAATTATATATTTACAACTATTTGATTTATTTAAAATTTATTATAAATAGTTAACATGAATATATCATTTTATTTAATTATTAAATTAGTAAGATTTAATGTTTAACATTATTAACATCGTTAACGTGAATTTTATTATTATCATCATTATAATTATTATTACAATTATATTCACCAACACTATTATTATGTGTATCATTTTTATTATTATAAGTTGACTATTATTATAATCGCAAATTTGAATTAAGAAGTAAAAAATGGTTTGAATTTAAGATTTGATATTAAAAACTAAAAATTATTTTTATTTTTAAAACTTAGAATTAAAATTTATTATAATCAAAGATAATGTGAGATCCATTAAAAGCAAAAAAGCACTAACACCTCGTTGTACGATCTTATGCTCTCTGTGTGAGACGCGTATAGTTTCTATCCACTAATGATTAATTCTTCTCGTAGTTGCGTTATAGTTTGCTTTCGAAAGAGCAACTCCAGATAAAGATTCATGTCATGCTAGAGGAAAGGATATAAATCAAAGTCCTGTACAGGATCCCAGTTTGTAGTTTGTGAAGTAAGATGGAATTTGGTTGCCTAATCCTTAATTTGTGAAGCAACATGAAAGTAGATGAGTTTTTGCTACATGTATTGCTTGTTTGTTGGGTTGAACATAAGTAGAAAGAAAGGATGAAAAGAGCTGTGCAAGAGAAATTTAAGAGTTGTATCATGTTTATTAAACACGAATCAATCGACTCGAGCCTAGCAGCCTTTCCAATCAGTCAATTTATCAAACTTGCATCTGAAAATTGGTGTGAATCGATATGAACAAGCCAAAACTTAGACCAGAAGTCGATGACCCGACCCAGTTTCATTGACTCCATCGTGTCACGCTTGTTTTTTGTTTTTGTTGAACGACAAAATTTCTTTTTGATTAAAAAACAATTAAAAATATTTGAGAAATGCTTAAATCTACGAGATTGGAACTAAAGACTGAAGTTTGAATCCATGTTTAGGTTTGTCACTTTCATATCTATCTGTCACTGTTGTGCTTTCATCTCTTTCAGTGTTGCCTTCATCTCCTTTTGCTGCTTTGGATGTTTGTTGTATTTTCTCCCAGTAATCTATGGATTTACGGCGCTTGCTCCATGTTGTCTCTACACTGCTCATATCTGCTCTAACTTTGTCTATGTGGTTGTTGCGGAACATTTGAAATTTTATAAATATTTATTTTTATTGTTTTTACTTTTTAATTATAAAATGATTATGTTGTTTTTAATCTATTTTCTGTTTTTAAAGATTTTTACATGAAATAGGAAAAAATTAATTTTAGTATTTTCATACAAATATTTAAAAGTAACAAATATTTTCTAAAACCAATAAGTCGCCTGAATTCTCAAGAGATTATGGGAACATGTTGCTGATGACATTTCAAAGCTTATGTCATAATTGCCGAAGGCTATTGGTCGGTGTTGGCGGTTCAGTTTTTATTTTAAAAATTATGTTTTTTTTAATAGACAAAACATATATTATTATAGAGAGTTTAAGAAAAATTTAAAACTTATACATAAAAAAAATTAATATTTATTCAAAAAAATAAAAAGTAAAAACATATTTATACATAGTTAAAACGGATATAATTTTATAGGTTTAAATATCAATTAGTTAATAAAATAACTTCTCCCTTATTAACAAGTAATAATCATTTCTAAGATTTGAGAATAATAAAATTTAGGATTTCTTTTTCATCCAAAACACCATTAAAAAATACAATTAATTTCTATGTAACTACAAATACTACCTTATACTTACTTAAACAATTAATAAATATATCATTTCTCTTTTACTATAACTAACATCAACTCAAGAAAATAAATAAGTCGATAAATTTAAAAGTAAAACTAGTGAGAATCTATACCAACACGCAGTAAAGTACTAGATTTAAGATTAAATTGAGCACGTTCAAAATAAATGAGTTGAAAGTTAACCAAATATAAAAATAAAATATTGTTTTGTTTGAATTAATCATGGAAATCAAACTAAACTAAATCGATATAGTGTGGTTGATTTGGATCAAGTTTTTATTTTTAATTTAAACTGAAGAATAACTCAAAAATTAAAGTGACTGTGATGATAAAATAAAGCATAAAGAAAATAAGCATTGATTTAAAAAACGAAATTCTAAAAGAACCGTAGATTTGTTGATAGAGAGAGAAAATATATCCAATTAAAAAATTATAATTTAGAATAAATAAAATAGGTGCATCATATATTATACAATGTTATAATAAGATAAAAAATAATTTGATATACAAATATAATTGAAAAACTATAAATAATTATAGATCCAGATTGACTTGCTTCCATTAAGTTCCATTCTAACCATAGTAACAAAAATTTGAATCAAATGGCAACTTAAAAAGCAGTTTTTAGTTTGGTCAATTTTAGGTTTAATCCAATTTTAATTTTTTTTACGTCAATTTAGTGATTTAGAAACAGTTTTGGTTCAATTTTAAGCCCCCTTACTACTTGTCCGTATTTCAAAGCTACGTATGGAAAAGATCGAACCAGGAAATCTGCTAATTTGGCTAGTTGTCAACGACGAAAGATACACGGTAGCAAGTGCATATGCATTGGACTTGCAATTCTAAGGCTATTTTCTGGCCAAAGTATAATTTTTTTTAAAAATCTTTATTTTAATATTTTTTTCAAACTAAGATTTTTTAATATATTTCAGAGAGTTGTGTTAAAATGTACAAATCCTCCTCTGCCTTCAGGCATTTGGGTTTTAGACTTTTAGATACGAGAATTGAGAACCCATAACTACTGTAGCTCAACCCCGCATCAACCACTACACTCCCCTCCAACGTCGCTGCATCTGTGAACGGTTCTCTCTCACGACTTTGCCAGCGTTAAGATTTAACTGCAAATTTATAATCTGTACAAATCAATTAGCCCCAACCATCCTCTTTAGCCATTCCTGACAAATTATTATTATTACTTGAATAAATTGTTCTTACTTGTTATTATTTACTTCGAAAAATCACCTCCACGGTTTACCATCATAACTTCTGTTCTTGGAAAATTAGGATGATTTTTAACTGTCACAAATTTTAAAAGTTCAGCACCCCTCACCCCACGTCACT